GGGGGGGGAAAGACAAACAGTATTCCAATATGAAAACAAGGGTGGAAGGGTGGAAGGTGGAAGCACTTTGCTTCGCCTGCTGCTGTCTTTGCAGCAAGCCGTCTTTTCGCCCCGCAGATTGCACTGGTAAGTGGTACAGTGATAATAGCAGGGACTGGTTTAAGCATGTGCTTAAATAGTTGGGGCAGGCTTATTTTCAGGGGAGGGCTTATTATGGCGCATGCTCTGAAAAGTCCGTTTGGGCTTATTAGCAGGGCATGTCTTATTTTTGGGGAAACACGGTATTATTTTTAATTCATGAGATCATTTGCAGCTTTTTTTTTGCAACATTTTCCAACCCTGTCACTGACTATGTCACATGTTGCTTTTTCAATACTACTCTCAGCACAAATTTTGGGGATGTTAAGAAGGAAGACTGCTCTTCCAGCATTTGGGAATGGATGCTCATAAATTTTGCAAGTTTTAAGTAAAATATGTCTTACCTGCCACACAGTTCTACGACATGTGAAGCCATCACCAGTCCCCAATATACAAAGGCATATTCGATCCCCATTTTCTTTTCTAAGGCACAGTGCTAGTGGACTGCAGCCACCGTTATTCTGATCAAGAAAAGAAAAGCTAATAAGCTGGAGCCATGGTCAGGGGTTATCAATCATTCCTTTAGGCATAACTTGTCTGGAATACTCTTCTTGAAACTTAGCTGCCAGGGGAGCAAGTCCCTCTCCTTTTCCCACAAGTGAGCAAGCTATCAACAGCTTTGGAGAAGGGGAAAGTAGCCATCTCAGTGAAGACAACTGTGTACTGAAAACTCAATACCATACCCTAATGTTTTCCATGAACCTATCAGTCATTCAAAGACTTAAAAGGGAAAGGTACCCTAATGGAATTCACCTTCTCTTTTAAGGAATTCGAAGCACATGAAATTTAAATTATCTATTTAATGGATATAGTTTTTTTGTTTATGAAAAACAACTTTTTATTATTTATTACTAGTGATTTCTGTTCCCACCTAAGGTTACTGGGCTTAATAACAAGCCCCATAATCCCTATCATGAAATTAATTACCTCCAAGTTGAAAGCCATACAATTTCTAGATTATCTTAATTTAGTAAGTCTTTACATCAATCAGTAATAATGGTTTATTGACTAACACATAATTAGTTCAGTCCACTAATCATATTAAGCTATAAGCTATGGTTTATAAACTATGGTGGTTGAATTAACACAGTAAACCAAATCGAAACAAAAAACAGTGTGATTTAGTGAAATGGTTTTCTTTCTCCCTTGTGAAATTTATTACCGGAACTTTTAAGGATTACCTATCAGGGCTGGGAAATGTGATACCTATGTTACCATGGCATGCATAAATCTTTTAAACTGGTAGTTGCATGATCTTAAAATTAAACAAAATATATAAAAAAAACACATGGCAGAAATATCACAAGATTGCCACTCAAAATCTTGTAAGATTTGGGTAACAATGCCAGATGACTTCAGCGAACTCCTGATATTTTGGTTGTCTAAAGAAAAAGTTAGTTTTTTAATGTTTATGTCATGCTGCACCTGGATTACCATTGTGATGAGTGGAATCACACCATTATCAACTCTTGGTAGGGTTAGTATTGTTTGCTTTTTTTAAAACGTAAAAACTAGCATTCAGGAAATCTTGTAAAGAAAAGGCATCAACAAACCTCCAAGCAAGGGTGAGTATATTCACACTTATTAATCCCATCACCAGTGAAGCTAGGAAGGCAGGCACAGGCAACCTGAGAGAAATAAAAAACACCACCACATATTTCACCTTCAGAACTACAAACAGAGGACACAAATTGCCAGACAACTTCTGCAGCAACAGTAAAGATGCAGATATTTGTCACTTTCCTGCTCTCTTTCTGCTATTGTAAAATAGAGGAAGTGTGTCCTATATGTGCAGGCTTTGCAGCTGCTGTGCCAAAAGTTGCAAGAGCACAATCAGTTAATAGTCACATTGCAAATGAGTGAGCCCTGTGTGTTTTAAGCCATTGGATGTTCCCACTGGGGAAGCAGAACAGTGAGGACACACTTGCCACACTTCAGAGTGAGTATGTAAAGGACAGACTACAGGAGGTCTGCCTCCAGACTGTCCATCGCTTGATAGCACCAGCCATAGAACCTATAGTTACACTGGGCTCTTTCAATCCTGGACACATGAATGGTACCTCCCTTTGCCCTCATCCATGGGATGGAAATACCAGCCATTGTTGCAGATGTTAGACCAGTGATGGCTAACCTTTTCCTGACTGAGTGCCCAAAGTGCACCCGAACACCCAAAATGCAATGCGTGTGCGGACCCTGCACATATGCCCCCCCACATACGTGTGTGCCCCCATGTGTCCCACCCCCATGCATGCATGTGTGGCCCCCCTGTACACCACTCATGCATGCACACACAGCCCTCTTGCACGCACCATGCCCTCTGCGCATGTGCGGCAAGGACACAAAGACCAGCTGGCCGGTGGGAGGCGTGTGCGCATGCATGGTGGAGCTGAACTGGCATGATGGCTTGTGTGCTATCAGAGAGGGCACTGCATGCCACCTCTGGCACGCATGCCATAGGTTCGCCATCATGGTGTTAGACCGTAAATTACTTTGATCCATCATTCCATGCATGATAAGCAAGGAAACGAAGCAGATGACAAGGAAGATATGCAGCTTACAGGATATAATGGAAATGCTACTGTTGCCTCATCAGGGACCATTTATACTGATGATTGCAAGACAGAGATAGCCAAACCATACTTTGGGAGGCCAACTCGATAACTGAAACCCTGGTACCACATGGAGATTTATAACTATGTGTAATGGGATGTAATGAGATTATCTCTTGGTAGGGGGGAGGGACTTTGTGATGCAGTTTCTTAAAAGGCCAGGGCTTTAATCACGTGCTTGAAACTACCATCTTGACTTTTTTGTCTCTCTCTGCAAACACTCTGTGTGATTAACAACAAACAATGCAATCTTTCCTCTTCTTCAGTATAAAGAAGCCCCATTAAACTCACTGCCAAACATAACAGAGTGTTCTGAGATTTATCCCTGCAATCTTGGGATTGTCAAAAATCATAAAAGCAATAGACAAAGGAAGAAGCATAAGAAAATGAATTGTTTGTGCATGCTTAATTCATATATAATGAATTGTTTGTGCATGCTTAATGTGTGTGTGTGTGTATGTATATATATATATATGTATGTATGTATGTGTATATATATATATATGTATGTATGTATGTGTATATATATATATATATG